AATGTACGATGATGATCGAATATAATGCATGATGTGTACATCCGTTCATATTGCAGAAGCTATTTATATGGTGGTCAATTTCCTCTCCTTTTTTAGTTTTTTTTTTTTTATACGGGAAAAAAATATATTTTTCTCGTGTTCGAGTGAAGTTCCGTTACTGTAAACAGGTTGATAGGAATTTATTTTCTCTTGAATGACATAAAGGTAAAAACGAACATTTACAGTTGTTGTAGTAAAATTAAAATAATTTTCAGTAGATAAAAAAAGAATCTCTAACATAGACTATTTGATCGTACTCTTCGTCTATGAGTACGTGATGTAATACTCATTTATTTGCGTTTATTGTAATAGATATTAATAGATCATGTACCGTGTCAATAACACTTCTGTATATCTATACCAGTATTCTTAGGCTCATTCTCATCTATTATTAAAACTAAAAAATGAAAAACCTATTAAACACAATTTATTAGGTTATGAGTACAACTTTTCCACTTTCACAATAAGTTTGACTTTAAGGTCATATTACTTCTCTGTTCTGTCCTTATTATCCACCATGCTGAGATGATATGCTGAAAAATGTTTTTGTTACTACAATACGCCTATAACTTCATAAAAGAAAGATCGTCTTTCGCCTAACATCGTAAATCTTTTGATATTTAGATGGGTTTCAATCAAAATTAAACCGATGACTGTAATCTATAGTCTGAATAAGATTTATTTTATTACCAATAATATTTTGTAGTCAAATTTAAAGTAAAGCAGAAAAAAATCTCCTTATTTATTCCCCTTATATCACCACCAGAGATTTCATTGATTATGAACTCGATTTTATGTTTTTCACGTCAGTTTTTAGTGTTTCTTGTAGTAGCTCTTCAAATCAAATGATGCTTCGGGTTAAGTAATGACAATTTTTTTTTAAAATAATTAAGACTAGACTGTTTATAATTATTCAAATGGATCATTATTCATTTTTCTTTTTTCTCTCTCTGCCTCTCTCTCCATCCTGTGAACTAAGTCGACAAGTGATAGTGTTAACTATATTATTATTATTATTATATGCATTTTTTCTCTTATTCTTTCTTTTGTCATCATCAAAATTTTTGTTTCTCTTTTTATGAATTACCTATTGTAGGATATGTTAGGTTTTTTCAAAATTACAAATACAAAAATAATATTAGTAATGAATTAATTAGTTATCTAGGTGTATAGACGGACAGACAGACGTTCAGAAGAAGAAGAAAAAAGAAACCAACTTGCATACACGCGTCCGTATATACATTGAATAAATGAGGAATTGACCATACATATATATTTAAGTGTTACATTATGAATGACTATCATAAATAGTTCATAATATAAGACATAAATTTTTCTTTTTTTTTTTCCTTTTTTTATTATTTATTATTTGTTCGTAAAGTATCATGTTCTTTTGTATATTTCAAGTACTTTAGACTTCATGTGGAGGCAATTTTAAATGTGTGTATACACCGTCAGTTTTTCGAGTGAGAAAAAAAATTTGTATTTTAAAATTATTGAACTATGATGGTGTGTGAAACGATATTGACACGTAAGAGATGGTGATCTCTTTTTTTTTTTCAAAAGATCTAACTAAAACAAAATATCAAGACTAATGAGTTGTTGTTTTTTTGTTGTTATTGTCTTACTCATAATCGTGTGTTATCTAATTACTTTCTGTCTTGACACTCTATTGTTTTTTTTACTTCTAGGGTTTTCATGCACAACCATGACCGGATGATACACTTCAAGTATTGTTGTTTGTTATTATTCTGATAACAATCGTCATTTTTTTTTTGTAAAAAGATATTAATCAAACTTTTTTTTTTTATCGTATCTCGCAGGCAACTGTTTATAGTCGAATAGGTCATATATAGAACAGTTTAGTGTTAACACGTTTTTTATTTATTATTAAGCCATTAAGATGAGAAAAGTCGTTTATTAATGAACCAATCGATGAGAAAATAACGTTTATTATTATCCATTCGACACGTTCTTATCATCATTTACATTCTCAATGAGAGAATATATATATTATTACAATCGGACGTATTTCAATTTTTACAACAAGGTGATATCTCTCATATTTGTAGTTCCACGTCGTTACATAAAATTTATAGAAGTACAAAATACATAGTGTTCATTTACACCAAAAAAATGAACGATCGTCAGAACGGTTTGTATCTTCTCTTTTAGGTGATCGATATTTTTAGGAAAAATATCTCGAAATTATTACAACAGTTAATGGAAATGTTTTAAAATTTGATGTTTGTGTATGAATATACCCTATCGATGGGACAAATTTTATACTTTGCATAATGTCTGCACAGAATCTAAATGCAGAATGTATGCAAGATTTGTATCAGAGTTCTAACAGAAGCTGTACAGAATAATTGCAGACAGAGTCGAAGAAGTTTTATAAAGATAATTTTATGTTACAAATACTTCTCAACACATGTTTGGTAAATAATTTCGTTGAAACTGTATGTGTATAGTAAATCTGCAAAATTTGTGATATCTATCGATATTCTGAAACAATTTACGACAGATTCTGCTAGACTTTAACACAAATCTTTTCTAAATTCTGTAGTAAATCTGCATCTTAACAAAAATGTCATACGTTAGACAGACACATCATTTAGCACTTGTAAAATTCGTAAACAAATATTTTATTTGTTCAAGTGATGAAAACTTTGCTATGAAAAATCAAATTGAGTAATAAGTTTTCGTTCATTTTCGATGATTTCTATAATAAGAATATCAAAAAATTGAAACTTTTAATACCATCAGGTTTATAGTGTATTGTCCTTTTCTCTCTATCAGTATTCTCTTATTCTCTCTTTATCAGTAACAAATTTGTGAACATATGCAGTGCCATATAAAATGACTGATAGTGATAGATTCATTCTTCTTTCTATACAATGTATCGATAAATGAATCGGACATCATCACCTTTTCGTATATTATTTAACTGCATGAATATTTTGCCGGAAGGTTTTCTGTTTTGTTTCTGTTACATATGATGATGAGTTTAGAAGTGTGAAACGTCTTTTTCTATTATCAGAATCATGTGTGTACCTGAAAGCTTACCAGAGGGCAGGGTTAGTAGTGACATTTCGATATACGACAAGAAAACTACTAATTAAAATTGAATTCTTTCTCCCCCTCACTTTAATTATTAAATTTTTTTAAAAGAGAGAGAGAGAGAGAGAGAAAAAAAAACACAATAGAATCTTCACTTTATTTTTCTCCAACACAAAAAAGCAAAAAAAAATTCCGTATGTTTAGTTGTGCGTGAAGAATTGTACATTATGTAAAGTAAAAAGAGAAGATTTATAGTAGAAATAAATGTAGGTACGTACGGATTAGTATATTGCACACAAAAGAAAAAAAGTAAGTCGATGAATTGTGCACACAATCTACTCAGTATATCCCTGTTTTTATATATATTTTAAAGACTTGTTTCTATGAGCGCATCCGAGAATACTATAATTTTTTATTCAGAAAAAAAAAATGTATCTACAATTTTAGTGATTTTCAAGTTGAGAAGACGATCAAATAAATAATGGTGTTCTTAGGTAGAATTTTTTAATATTAAAGATTTTAGAATCATAAGAAAATTAATCTCCCAAAAAAATTGATCTTATAGGTAAAATTCCACCTGTATTTCGCTAGAGAATAAAAAGAAAAAGTGCTTTTATTTGTTTACTAGCATCGTGTAGAGAATCATGCAGACTATGGTGTATGTATAATCCATTATCTCGTTTAACACATAAACATACACACACTTTCTATTAATTTCTATCTTTGTGTAGTATTGTCCATCTGTTTTTGTTTTGTTATATTAAATTAATATATATTCAAAGGATGTTGCTTATTATTTTAATTGTGGACAACAATTATCCACTAAACAGTTGAAGTCATTGCAATCATGTAGAGATGTTATTTTTTTTTACACCTGATTTTGATTTACATATCTTTTTCGTCGCTCTTGCACTCAACGATGACCTATATAGATGTAATTGATTCACCAATTAACATAAATTAACACCACACACACTATAGAATAAAAAAAAAAAAGAAGAAAGACACACAAATTTTGATGTGCTGTTATCAAAAGCAGCAAGCATCAGCAGTAGCATAAATAAATATCGAGATGTATACACATAACAAGATTAAATGAAAAGAATTCATAATGAATTCACGCAAATATTTCGTAGTATCGCACATCGTATCTAAAAACATTATATATATACACTTGATGAACAGTTCAAATGAATCTAAACAAATATTTAAAAATAGAAAAAAGAAAAAAAAGAAGAAGAAATGTTTGATATACAGTGATCGCACGCAAGGTGTATATCCGTAAAACATTTCTCCGTTCAGTATGTAAATTTTGGAAAAATAACAATGTTACACTTGCAGTAGTTAATCAATGATCATGATCTCTGTAGTAAAAGTATAAAACAATCATCATAGATTATAGTCACTATAATGTTTTGATGAGTTTTACATCGATATTTATGATCATGATATGATCTAAATATCTTTTTATTCTCTTCTTCATAGTCGAAAGTGATGCGCGTGTTTTACGACAAATCAATGATGATTTTAAATCTTATTTGACATTAACTGTGACTTATTTCTCGAATGTTTGTCATAATAATTTTTTTTCTTTAAATCTTAAATTTTTACTATAATTTCTACTCTATTTTAGATGTAAATTATAGATTCAATCTTTTCCTTTTCATCTGTACTACTACAATTATTACCACTACTCTATGTCAGATCATCCTCATCTGAATATCGAGTTTGATCACTCATTATAGAAGGAGAAGAAAATAATTTATCTTTTTTTTATATTTTTTAATATAAACAAAAAGTATGTTTCTGTTATATTATCGTGCTGTAAGCTTTTGTTACATATACCTCGTTATTGTTGTTTTTTCAGTTGTACATTTGACTGATATTACACATATAGAATGTTCAATTGTCGACAATTTGTTTATTTCATTTTAACCTGTTTATCTTCAATATGTAAGTACAAAAGATTTATCATTTATCTTTCTGAAATGTGATGTAATTTGAAATCTTGTTTATTTTATATTTTCAGTTTTAAACGGAGCTGATGAATGGTATTCAAAATCACAGTGTACACAAAAAGAGTATGCAAATCATATGGATATTGAATGTGAAAATAAAATTATTCTCATCGGTTGGAGTCATTATGGAACGAAAAAACCTTTTACAATAAATTTTCAACAACAACATCAACGGTATACTAACCTTTTTTAGATTGTTTAATGTAACAGCAGAGACATGTTTTTATTTTTTATTTTTTAGATGTGAACCATCAGAAACTGATTGTATTATGGATTATACGCATAAAATTGCTGAATTATGTAATGGTGTGTCGTCATGTCAAGTCATTCTAACTCAACAATTTATCCACAAATGTTCCGATGAAGCTACATATCTATTTATCTCGTATCAATGTATAGAAAGTATGTCATCATTATTAAACGTTTTAAATTATAACTATTAACTTGTTCAATCTATATTTTTAGATAATACAATTGTTGATATTTGCTCAAAACGTAGTCTCGAATCATCATCTGAATTACATTTAATAAGTCCATTATTTCCAAATGAATATCCGAATAATGTTAATTGTACTTGTTCAATTAGTGGAACAGGACAATCATCACCACTACAACAAGAAGTGACGATCGATGTGGAGGTAGAATACTCATTTAAAAAAAAATAATAAAAATTTCTATTACTTTTTTCATTATTATTCACTCTATTCACGTATTTAGAGTTTATCATTTAATTTACAAGACAATGATTTTCTATCAACTTCAACATCAATTGAACAATCGGGTACATTAGCATTTGGTTCTTCGATCGTTGTTGCACAAAAATATATTGATTTAACATTTACAACGGATGAAACACTTAGTCAGTCGGGATTTTGGGTCCGAATACATGGTAAAATAATGTTATAATATATACGATTTATTAAATGATATCTATAGATTAACTCAATTGTTTTAGGTTATTCACCATGTAATCGTGATGAATATTCACTTGGTTCAAAATGTTTACGATTGTTCACAATGAAACATTCTTGGCCAATTGCTCATCAAAAATGTTTGTCAACTGGTAGTCGTCTATTGAAATTATACGATATTGTTGAAGAAAAAAAATTATCATATTTTCTTACAAATGGACAATTTCAAGATACACAATATTGGATTGGATTATATAAAAATTCCGATGAATGGTTATGGGATACAAAACAAAATCAAACATTTTCGAGTATGTATAAAGAGTTATTTGAAAAATTGATAATTTTAATCTTATATTTTCACTTTTAGCAAAATCCTGGTGGCCATGGCGTACATCAACATTATCGGATGAGAAAATTTTAGATATATCTAATTGTGTTCTACGTACACAGGATGGCTGGGTGAAAAAACCTTGTGAAGATGCCTATGCATTTATTTGTGAACGTGATGCACTTAGTATGTTATTGATTGTGTTTATCAAATGTCAAAAACATCATAGAAAAAAAAATATTTATTTGTTTTAAGGAGAATCTGTTCCATTATCAATTCGTTGTGGAAATGCACAACAGCGTATGTTTCCAAGTTCAATTATGACCACTACGACTTCATCATCTACTACATTGTCAACGATCAGTACAATAGTTTCAACAACGTCAGAAATAAAATTTCCTATAATAAAACGAACACGTCGACCGCATTACTATAATGAACGATCAAACAATAATAATTCGAATAATGAAGTTTATATTCAACAAATAGATCCAATAGCAGCAAAAATCAATGAATTAAATGTTCAAACTCAACAATCATCTACTAAACGTACTCTAGATCCAAGTATGTTGACAGTTACTCTCTATTCCATACGATAGTTGTTTTCATTATAATCATTTGTTATTGTAGCAATATTGGCTGCTGCTCTTGGTGGTGTTGCAATTGCCATATTCTCTGTGAATATCGTTGTTTGCTACATGTGTAGGCGGTAAGTGAATTGATTTTTGTTCTATATTTCATTTATTATACAATTTATTTGGTTAATAATTAGACGTTCTCAAAAACAATCAAAATGTAAAACACCCGTAGAATCTCAGTCGTCCTTTATTCATGAAGAATTACAACGTAGTCTAGTACAACATTTATATCATGAACAAACCAATACAATATCGTCTACTTCATCTTCATCAAATCATTCTCAGTCACAATCAAATGATACCACACGAACTACAACTGGCGCACTACCTGCACCATCGATCACACCAAATTTATTAGGTTCAACATCACCAACTAACAATGTGAATTTTAATTTATTAAACGATCAACCAGCATCATTTGAACATCAAAATTATACATTACCAAAGTGTCCACAACATTTTCCTTCATATCCTACATTAAACAATCATCGTCCAGAACATGTTTCAACATGTAATGGTAATGGTGGAGGTTTATGTTTTCGTAATCCACATGCCGATTTGAATACGAGTCAAAACGTTGATTATCACGTTTATGAGACAATACCATCGTCATCGGTCACTGACACAACGTATATGTTTCATTCAGCATTTAAACCCGTTCTTCAAGGACAAACACAGACTGTTCGTCCATTTTTACCGAGAACGAATATTATTTATCGAAATAGACAACAACCGTTAACAACGACGACTACATCGCCTTACGATACATCAGCAATATGTTCATCAACAAAATATAATCAACAAACTGTTTTAATACCTGTCTGTTGTGGTCATCATCATTTATCTCTACCGTCACATCTACAACAACAATTATGTTGTAATTATAACCAATCTGATTCGATTCCTTCACGACTATTGAACAGTAATACACCAAAACCAAATGTTGACCAAATTTATGTTGGATCTGAATCGATCGTATGATATTGATGAGTTCTATCAATAGTAGTGTTTCCATGTCAGATATATATAAGATTTTTTAGGAAAGTGAGTTGAATTGTGAAGAAAAATTTTTGTTTTTGGTTTCCTTCCTTTGTTTTCTATATAGAAAAAAATTTATTTTTAAAAAAAGTACTACTGTTTGTTGTTCGTTGATTTTTTCTTTACTTTTTTCTTTAATAATAATAAAATAGTGAACTATTAAAAATGAAAATTATTTTGCCGTACCGTAAATGCTATTGAATGTACCGTTGGATATTGTAGTAGACGAACTTGTTTATAATTAAATTTTTCATTTCTCGATTGCAAACTCAGCTCGTCAAGACTACTGGAAGCTGCACAAATTTAATATACCTAATTCCATAACTTTGACCAGTATAGATAATTAGAATAAAACACATGAATATGCTCTTCCTTGAATTTCTTCCTTTATAGCTGCTGCATTCATAACATGTATCATATGGAAAAGTATTACAACAAATGCTAATCATAAGCAAGAATTAAAATTACCATCACATGTAACTAATAAGTCAATACGATTTTTTTTATACTGTTCATCAGTTTTGACGCTAAATTCTATAAAAATGAATCGGATTGTATTTTACTGGAATTTTATTATAATATCAGAGTTAATCAATCTACATCTTTTTGTATCTCTTAAATAACTAGAGCGAAGAATCTTGATGAAGTAATAATAATTATGATAAAATGGTATTACAAGGCATCACAAGATCTTACACGATTTCATAAAAAACTCATATTTTCTATAATATTTCATAAGATGTTATAGAATCTCATGATAAGAACTTGTATGAACTTGTAACAAATCATAAGATCTTATCTGAATATTCAAGTTGATATACTACTTTTTGCTATCATGCTCTCTATACATCAATGATTGCTTTTTAAATAATCTTACAAGATCATACGAAATCGAACTTCTTGTTGTATGATCCTACAAGATTCAACCAATTCGCATATACTGATCTTGTAAGATCTTATAATAAGATGACATAAAATTTTACAAGATCCTATGACAAAATCTTTTAATATCTTATTGTACGATCTTATTAATAGATTCTATAAAAAAAACGCTAGATCTTATATATTCTTGTTAGACGTTTTTCACATGGATAGACATTTTATTGGTTTAATGAAGCAATAGATTTATTAAACTGAAGTTAAATACTATTTTGTGTCAATCTAAAAAGATAATGTTCATATGTCAATTATTCTATTCTATTGAACGGCTTTGTCAAAGTCTTGTACTCTACATGTTACAACACAGACTTTAATCTATAGATGTGAATGTTTCTTATCAAGTTATGAATTTTTTGTAGTAACAGTCGACAACTGTGGAGAATAACTTTGAATAATATTATTTTTTACTAGAGATACAATACCGCTTGAACTTATTTTTGAGAAAAAAACACATCGCTGAAGAGATTGTACCTACATTTTACCAACAAAAATTGAAAAGGAGGTATTTTTGACTTAAGTAGCTAGATTTCTAAGTTTAGTGCACTAGATTCTTGAAAAATAAAATAATTTTAACGTATAGATATCATAGTCCGATTTCAACCATATCATTAAGAAGAACATTAAAAACAGGTATAATCCATGTGTTTTAACTTTCAATTTATTAACACTGAAGTGTTTTTTTAAAGAGTTTTCCAAAGATCTCTTCCACTGAAGAAATTAAACAATGCAGAATAAAAACAATGCAGTACTGACTACTGACTTATGGCCTATTTAATGGTGTAAAAATTGTTGGTCCGGCTTTTGTATTCAAGTGGAAAAGGTAGCATGAAACCCTAGGGTGTACCGAAGGATAATATTTTTCATGAATTATGCACAGTGTTTAAGGATAAATCATACATATTCTGACACTAGATCTTCTGGTCTGTCGATTTGTAAAAAAATTTTTGTTTTTACAATTTCGCGTCGGAAAAAATAATTGTTCTTTGTACGCTGAAGGTTTTCCCACAAAGCCGTGTTCGGTATAGTGAGTTTCCACACCTTTCCATAACTCCAAATTCGATGAAACTTTCACAGAGTATTTTTCTACTTATGACACATCTTTAAAGGTAGCATAAAGATGCATAAATGGTCCTGGCCTGGGTTGCAGATTTTCTCCAAATCTTGTTTTTTCTGGTATTTTCCAGTTGTTTTCAACCTAGAAAGGTTTTTATTTAATAAAAAATACCATATTCGGAATCAGCGCAAAAAAACTGAGTTGAATGATGTGCATATTAAGTATTTCTGAACAAAAAGTGTTTCGATCCAGTGTAATGGGCAGATTTTATCGTATCGACACAATAATTTTGACTTGGCATAGAGACATGTGTTAGAAAAGTGGTACCAAGGTCTCTAAACACTCTTTTTATATGTTTTTGTATACGCTCTTTCTAGAGAGATGATTTTTAAACTTTCAAAATATGTTCGTACTGGTTTTCCAGAGATCGGATCTCTGCAAAATCTGTATCAGTATACTTTGGAAATTTGAAAATCACGCCATTGAAAAGAGTACCTACTAAAACCTATAAAAAGAGCGTTTAGGGATCTTGGTACCACTTTTTTAGTACATGTTCACGTTAGGGTCCTGAAGATTAAACTTAACCTAACTTAACCTATAGGTTAGGTTGTAGGTTACGCCATTGATAACCTATTTTTAACCTAAACGAAAAAACCGATTTTGAACGACCACATTGAAACAGACAACACTTTGAGTAATAAAGCGTAGTCCGAGTGGAATTTTATCGATTGAGAATGAAGTTCAAACTGAGGTTCTCTAGTTTAAACTGAAAAATAGCACAGTCAAAAAAGGAAGTACAGAGAAAAAACTTCCGTTTGCTAAAAATAGATGGCAAATACACAACAATAACAGAACCTTCGTAGGATCGAGAGCCTAAAGTGGAATTCTGGTCTACTCTCAAGAGGGTCTCCCTATTCAGAAAGCTATTTTCCAAAGATTGCATTAAAGAATAAAAGACTCAACGGCTTGGACAAATGTTACGGAATTTCATTTTTTCACCTCCTGTGCCCCTTATCTCGGCAAAGAAGCAGCGCTTATCAATGAAATTTATACCAATGGCGGATATTAGGCACTTCTACTACCAAAAATAATTTGAGCTTGGTTGAACAAGCGGATCAAAAGTTATAGTCAAAATAGAGGCCGTTACGAAATTTCAAAAAATGGAAGTGTTTTTCGGGGTATTCCAGTAAAATGTAAATCATTCAGCCTTTAGTTAATTTTAGAATGATTGCTCAATTACCAAATTAAAGCTCACAGTCTGAGCTATCAGAATCACTACTGACCTTTTCTTGAATTAGTTCGCTGGCAGAGGAAACCGAATAAAAGTGACCGTTACGGGAATTTCATTTCGTTACAGAATTTCACCGTTTTTTGCTCTTCTTTGCAGATTGTTTGGTATATATTTTTTCTGTCACAGAACTACTTAGCAAGCTCTGATTTGCACATAGATGGATAGTTTGAGGTACCCTTCTTCCGATGCAGCCCAAAATAAATTTTCAAAGTTAGATTAAATGGGCATAAAATCGCTCACAAAATAAGCGCCAAAACGTTTTTTAGGAAATAAAAACAAAATTTGGCATCTAAACGTCAAACATAAATGAGCCCTTTGGTAGAGGATTTGATTCTTTATCCGACGGTATGATTTTCAGAATCTTCGGAAAAAATATCCGGGAATTTAAATTTTAAATTCAAAAATTTAAATTTTCACCACGAAGATTTGACTTTCATTTGTTTTTGAGTTCAGATTTGTAATCACCGTGAAAAACTGCGTATAATGATGTATTTTTAAGCTTTGCTCAAGCTAAAACAAAAATTTGAATCTTGTCATCCGCACGTGAACTGTTAGCTGGCCATGCCGTTAACCGATTAATTCTATATTCATGTAAAATGTGATTTATTTTATATAAGCTTACTTTGACGTGTTTAGATAAAAAACAATAACGATATGAAACAAAGCTGAAGTTTAAGCTTCTGAAACCAGGTTTTGGGAAAAAATTGCAAAAGGTTGTATTAAGTTAACCTAGGTTAGGTTACAAAAAACATTAATAGGTTAGGTTAGGTTTAGGTTATGAAAATTTTTATAGGTTAGGTTATAGGTTGTCAAAAAGTCGTAACCTGCAGAACTCTAGTTCACATGCCTAGCCAAATTTGCCCACTGTGCGTGATATCATGTATATAGGCGTATGTTTATCGATATTTTTATGTCGATGATGATGATTGAAGTTATCAATCAAAAGCTTCTATATTTAAATAAAATGTTAGTTGTTGATCTCGTGCAAATAATTTTGGCTTATTTCAATCTTATATCAACAAATGAAACTGGATGCGTTAAGCAACGAGTGGAGCAAAAGTTATCACCCTAAATAATATCATCAGTCATAGGGACGAACGTAGGATGCATCAAAGTTTCATATATAGACATCAACGTCTATCCTGGTGCAACTTGTTGAGCTTGGACGCTGCACAAAGCAAGAAAAAATAAGAAATGAAGACATTTTGAGAGTCAAGGTCTTTACTAGAAAAGCAAAAAAGTTTCACTAGGGCACTAATAAAACGTCCAATACATAATAATGTTTGAAAATCAAATATGTCCGGAAATTTAGTAACTTTTTATGGATACCTTTATACAACTTAGCCTAATCCGGGCAGAGTCAAAACTTAAGATACTTTGTAGTCCAATATGAATATTATCCTAAAGAAAATAAGTTCAAAAGGTTGGCACTGTGTTCCCGAGGCATGAGAAGCTTAGACTTTTTGAAAATTAAACTAATGCAGAGTCTACTTTAGGAAAATGAAAGGAGCTTTTTATCAATAGCGCCTATAATCTTAAAATTTCCGCAACCTGGTTTTTATAAAAACAATAATTTCAACAATTCTATCGTTGTTATTTACTTCGAAAAAAGACTAAAATCAGATATGCTTTTTTTGTAAAACATACTCAAAAATCGACTATAAAACAAACATGACTAGGTGCACAAAAGTGAACACATAGACAGAAATCGCGAACTGTAACACAGAACTTTTCAAAAACAATGAAAGAAGACGAGAAATATAGTCCAATTAAAACATATTTCAATTTGTAACCGTATAAGTGTTTACCATGCGCGAAGATTTATTGGCGAACATTGATCGCAGGGTACATGACCATTTCTAGAACAAAAAAAGTTGATATTAAGCAGAGACAATACATAAATGTCTTTTACATACCCTGCTTGAGACGGTGGAAGAAACGCGTTTGGTTGCATTGATCGCGTTTCAAGTGTCACACACATAAAACATTGAAAGGGAAACGATTTAATTATTTGTAACTGTTCTAAAAATGTTTAAGAAAAAGAACGTATAAATTAACAGTGTAGCAGGCAAATGTGTTACTAAGAATTGACATTGAACTTAGTAATTAGAAAAATTGATGAAATCTTTGCAATCAATAGTCTTTGAACTAATCCACTACCCCATACTACACACTAGTACAAAGCTCTTAATCTTTTTACCTGGAGTTAAAACATCTGGGTGTTCGTAAAAGAATCGATCAGCTTGTTTAACTTTGAGAAATTGTTGAGCAATGATGCAAGCCGATGTTGGCCCAACAAGTCCTCCGGATATAGGATTTTCCATGTTGAGACCAGCCCACAAATCGACGTCATCTGGATGTCTATAGACATGTATAATAGTTTTAATTATTTAAACAAAAAGAGGCTTCTCAACGTACCTGTATACTCTTTTCAAATCTTCAATTGAATCACTATTCATCATATCGGAAAAATGTTCGAATATCTTGGCACGTTTAAAACCGCACCATTCACGATAGGCATTATAACCATCAATACCAGATTCTCGTGCTCGATTCATATTCATTGCTGGTAAATCAAAACGTTTTGTTTCAGCTTGTGCATTCTCTACTGTTTCAAATAAATGATGTCTTATTTGATCAGCGAAACTAGAATCAAACGCTGAACCATAATCAAAGACGGCACCACGCGTAATTGCATCTAAACCACCATTATCAAATCTATAAAAAGAAATTTATCAGTGGCTTAATCATTACTTAAAAACAATGCAGAATACGTACTCCCAAGCTGGTGCAACATGATGACTAATATCCCATAATAATTTTTGATCGATAAGTTTATAATCAGGCGTTGCACGACTATACCAATCACGAACAAATGTATGACAACGAAATGCAGCTGTAGCAAATTCAGTCCAAATTGCAGGTGATTTCTGAAAAAGAAAAAATGAACTATTTTATACTTTTAATAGCAATGTGAATTTGAGTTCATAATAATATCTCAATATTTAGTCTCTTATTAGACAACGATGAGGGAGAAAATACTTTTTCAACGTATTTATTTAGTTTTTACTACAATCAATGGACATATACATACTCTTGGATCGTATTGACTGGGCCCTGAAAAGTATTTAGCATGAATATCTTTTCCCAGCATAACGCGTAGATATTCATCGAAGACAGTATGTTGGAAATATGCCACATTAATTTTTTTCGCTTCTTCAAATAATCTCTCATCTGACCAATCGTTGTGTAGTTGTTTTAATTGTCTCGCTAAGTGATTATGAAAACGCCACCATTGTGTCGTTATACCAGTCAAAAGAAGATTTTCCATAACACGTGGATCGCCTATGAAAGAGAACATAGAGCTATTAGGAAGTAATTCGTCAAAAAAGCCCAACTCACTCACCAGCTTGAAAACACTTAATTCGATCATTTGCATCAACACATGATCGTCCACTTTCCATTATAGGTAAATAGTCTTGAAATGGAGCAACTCTTGTTATTTTCATTAATCCGTCACGATGTTCACGAAAGTTCTCTGTTGTTTCCTTTTTACTACCGTATATCATTGATAAATCAAGAAAGTGAGTATTTCCATTCATAAGTCCTCGTATACCTGTAAAAAAAAAGAAGGGAGAATGAAACGTCGCATATGTAAATAATTCTCATGAGCAAATTTTGTAGCATTTACCTAGGGAGCACGTCGGGTCAGACAATGCTTCGGCTGTTGCTGGAATAGTCATACATTTTTGATCAGACATCCATGGATCTCCTTGCGGGGTTTTAATATTAACGCACGTATCCTCATTACGATTACAACTGCATGATACTATTTTACCATTATCATCTGATGCCGGGGAGGCAAGTGATAAATCATGACCAATAAACTGACCATTCATTACCCAATAATTTGTATACGATCGAGCAAATCGCTGTTTATTTTGAAACAATTGCAAGCTACACTCACGTGGTGATGGCAATAGATCACCTACTACCGATCTTGATCTTGGCGTATTGAAGCCTAAAACAAGAAAGAGTTGTATGTCATATCTGATCGCTGGACATGGGAGTATTCATACCATTATCATAAACGGGATCCAATATACGAGCAAATGCAGTTTCAGAAGCACCATCCAATGGTCTGTCCAAATTATTACATATACCCGAAACTTGACGCGAATTAGCTAAACCAGCACAATTTGGTCTAGCAAATGGGCACCATTTTTCCGGAACTTTAAACTGATGCAAAAATTGATTACTATAATAAACAATACAACAGTAGTGAGTATAGTAGCCAAATAGAAAAACTCACGAAGTTCTTGAATCCGTTCGATTTAAATCACAAGATGCACTAAAATTTTTAAAAAAAACTGTACACGATAAGCAAAAGATCGACCAAAAAGCCTATCATACCGTGAGAGTAAATTGCTTGAAACTCGAAGCGCTGCTTTGGCTACAGTATTTTCAAGTGTACCATCATTTTGAAGGTTATCTAGAAAAGAAGATGAAGTATTGACAATTGTTATTCTAAATTATCGGATGATTGAAATTACTAGATAATCGTTGCATTTCTGTGGCGAACATATTTTCTAAAGTAACTGGTGTAACTGATATTTGAGAACCAGACAAACAGTCAGCAAATGTTACCATCTGTTGGTCTTGCTGTAGACTATTCCACTGGCGATCTTGTTGTTGTGGAATGTTCCAGATTTGTTGGTCTTGGTGAAGACTATTCCATTGACGATCTTGTTGCGGTTGAATATTCCAGCTCTGGCGTTCTTGTGGAATGTTTGACATTTGTTGGTCTTGATGAAGACTATTCCATTGACGATCTTGTTGCGGTTGAATATTCCAGCTTTGGCGTTCTTGTGGAATGTTTGACATTTGTTGGTCTTGACGAAGACTATTCCATTGACGATCTTGTTGTTGTGGACCGCTGTTTGAATTCCCCTGCGATGGCCCCCATTGTGCTGGACAGAATCGACACAGACAAAACAAATATAGTAAAATAAGTGCGGCTCGATACATCATCATCAATTGAAGATAAGATGCTAAAAATAAATGCGTATATGAGAAAACTACTATCTTACTGCTGCAAACTTCAATCCAATTCAATTCAGTCTGGGTTTTTTAAACTTAGAAAATCTAATTGTGGTGACTGTCTTCCCAAGAAAAAAGTCTGTACACCATGAAGTGAAATATATTTTTAATTGCCGAAATCACGACATAAAGGTACAGATGTTCATTACATCTATTAATTTACTGCTCCTTTCTCAATAATGATTTCTTCTCTGTAAAATTAGTTCCTAAAATTCTTATACATCACCAGATACTGTACGAGATTTTTCGTCCCGAAAGCTTAGACTTACATATTTCACACGACGTTCTTTTACATACAAAATTAAACGCGATTTACGTTTGGATTAAGCATACAGATGTGCGTATTTATAACGAAAAATATGCATGTCGTCTAACTTTGATGAAAAAAGAGACACGTCAGATTCTACAAAATAAATTTCTTTTCCCTCGAAAAGTAGATGCACATGTGTATCTGCACGTTTTTTAGTTGAATTCTACTATGGAAAAAAGATGTAAGAGAAAATAAAATAGTTAGCTCTTTGTCGTGGTTTTTGTATGTATGTGAAGATGAGAAGAAAACTATAACTTAAATTCAACACTGATGCTTTTGTTCGCTGTTGATGACGGTCAGAATGTTCTAAAAACAACATTTACAGACTAAAACTCCAGTTTTCTTTATCCTCTCTGATGATGATGCATCTCTATCACGAGAGAGAGAAATCTCTTTTAGTAAACTACTTAAAACATCTAAAAAAATAGTAATATTTTGAAGTTCTTAAACAAAAGAAAAATACTAAATGTTTTGATTTAAGTAGAAAATACCCAGGTCAAAAAATCAGATCCAGATCTTACAAGATCTTATGGAAAATCATAGAAACGGATTCATCTTATAAAATCTTATAGTAATGATACAAGAATCCTAATCTGATGAAATCTCACTATAAGATCTTGCATCAAGAAGAAAGTGAAACAGAGTTGTCAGCAAGATACAGGCTCATATATATAAAAAAACTTAAAATTAATTTTATATTAACTTAGTATAAAATTTGAAAAAGGAAAATTTAGAAAAAAAAACATATTTTATTCCGGTTTTTTATGGAAATGATTTTCGTTACAATTACGATACATGTTCCAGCGCGTGATGCATCCTCCCTCAATCCGTCACTGAATATAGCCGACTGGATCATTTTACATGAAGCGAAAACAAAAAAGAAACCAGTCCATCCAAATTAACTTGAGTGTATGCTGAACTTTCTAATAAATGATGAAGTACTGTAAACATTTCTTTACAAAATAAGTTGTTTTAAGATATTTTTAACATCTAGTTTTATCATTTCTCATTCGTTTTTCAGATTGTGCTCAAATCGTAGTTTTACGGCTATTCCTAATATCTTTTTAGAGTTGCTGAAAAGTGCTTTTTCGTATCCAGCATACTCGCTAACCAAGAAGATTCTATTCTTGGCGAGGGGTACTTTCAAAAGTTTAGGAAAATTTTTGAAACAAAATGACACAAAAAGTTTCCATGAGAAAATAACATTAGTTTGAAAAGTTTTCCTAAACTTTTGAAAGTACCCCTTGTCAAAAACAGAAAATCTTCTGGATTATCAAGTGCCCTGAATACGAGAAAGCACTTTTCAGCAACTCAAGACCAACTTTATTTTTTTTTCGGCGGGTGATATGAATCATCGTATTATTTTGTCTTGATCGTACAAATTTCATGCAACGTCTCATTGGAAGAGCAAAAATGTTTTTGCAATTTTTAAAATTCTGTTTAATAACACCTATAAAAACTCACTGTCATTTCATAGCGCATTCTGTAACAGTTCAACGAATGATCTTGTAGAAATTTCTACTTTTTAAAAAAGTTTTAAACTTATGCTTTGAACGATGAAACAATACTTCGATATCTCTCTAATAACGGATATCTCAGAATAAACTGCATTAAATTTTGATGCATTTTACTCTTATTTTCTATTTATAAAAAATTTCTTTTATATACCAAATCATAAACAATTTAATTCTTTACAAGATTAAATATTTATTTTTAAGATTCATCTTTGATGTTTGACACAGTAACTCTAACAAGAAAAGCTCCAAAGTTTTTAACTGCACCTTCAAAGAAGTGGTTTTTTTTGCGCAAAATCTCGCTAAAAATCACTTATTCAACAAAACAGGGTATACTGAAAATTTTTTAATGTTTTTTTTCAATGAGAAATAATGATTTTTTAGATAAAATCGGAGCGAAGAGTTTTTGAAAAAGGTTATTTTCTCCTATTTTTCGACCATCTTAGTATCCAGCATTTTCTAGTTTTTCAGGTAAAAAAGTAGCACGTTTATTTGTAAATTATATAGTCCAATAGAGCGCAAAATTCTGCATCTTTTGGTCTATAAACTAATGATTTGAACTTTGGATTTTATACTGGAATAGTCAAACCTTTTTTTATGCTAGAAACTTCGGAGGACTTGGACGTTTATGTATTAAAGCCACTGAAAATTGAACTAAATTAACTTCAAGTAAACAATTTTGTAAAGCATAAAAGTCTTCATCATTTGACGGTACTAAAATTATTTCAACTTTTTTTGTACTCATTATAAACAATTAAAAATAGAGAGCAGTTTGTATTTTAAAACTGCGTGATACATTTAAAAAATTTGGAGCTTTTCTTGTTAGAGTTACTGTGCCAAACATCAAAGATGAATCTTAAAAGTAAATATATAATCTTGTAGAGAATTAAATTGTCTGTCGTTTGGTATATAAAGCAATTTAATTTTTATAAATAGGAAATGAGAGAAAAATGTACCAAAATTTAGTGCGGACACTTGTTAGTAAAAATCGCAGCTGTTTATTTATCTTCTAAGAGTTACTAAAAAAATAACCAATGCCATTCTCCGTTTGAACGTACAATAGTTATCTGATTTTAGCTTTTTATTTTACCAAATTAAAAGTATGCAATATTCATTCACAAAACAAGACATGAAACCGAGACAAACTTTAAAAGGTGAGTAAACCTAGTGAAACTGAGTTTTGAGGAAAATATACCAATTTATCTATAACGGTAAAAAAGTCAAACTCATATCTCACTCAAAACCCCTTGGAATTCTCAGAAAATACTCTCTCATTTGTTTTACATGTTGACCAAGTCAGAAAAGAACACCTATTTTCTTATTATTGGAATTTTCTGAGATTTTCTAGAAATCTATCGTAAGAGAATATATTAGTTGTTTCGATGTTTTTAGTATTCAATCTACTCGTCTGATCATGTTCTGAGGGTTCCAAGGAGCTTGGTGCGGTTTTGAGCGAGATATGAGTTTTAATTTTGTGCAGTGATAGCTAAATTGGTTTATTTTCTCAAAACTCAGTTCCACTAGGTTTATTCCCCTTTTTCTGACAAGAAACATTGCCACGAGATTGAGTGTGGTCGATAACTTACGTTTCCATTTACTTTAGAGGTTATCCGAAGTCATCTAATACCCGTCTTGGAACTTCCAGCAAAACAGATACCACGCATAAAATTACAGAGGCTGGACCTACTGATCAAGGTATCGTACATAGCTCGGTTTGTAGGAAATTCAACGAGCTTTAAAATGGTGTATGACACAAAATATCCATGTTTCTTTACTAGTATAAGAAATAGTAAAAACTGAAAGTATATCATTTTTTCCCCTAGTCGATTTACTTCTGATCAATTTTTCAGGGACTGATCCCACCGATCTTGAAATTTTGAACTTGCCAGTTTGTAGCAAATTTCATGAGCTTCGAAATGATACATAATAGAAAAATATATGTTGTCTTGGTTGAGAGAAAAAGGGATCACACAAGCGAGAACTGTCTACTAAAGTGTACTCTAAGCGCTCTAATGCTATCAAAGCACTGTGGTTAACGGTTATTTTACGCATAGTCTGTAGAGAATTTTAGAAGTTCTCAACGATATATTTACTTTGTTGTCTACGTGAAAGAAACATGAGAAAAACACATTTTACGTAATCTATAGTTGATCTTGAGCTATTCGCGCGCTATTGACGAGAAATTACTTGGAGTTTAGTTACCAAAAGTACCCGAAATTACTTAAAACCGACTGAAAATACTTTTCTACTACTCACAGAACCATTTTTAGGCAAAAATTGAAGTGAGCTGACTACCGACCTTATGCGGATCCTTCCTTTAGCAGATAGGAATTTGTCTGCTAGATCGATCTTGGAAGATTTATTATACGGCACTCCTGTGTTGTTTTTCTTTTACACTTAAACGTGCCTAAAAAGTTTTATTCTCATCGAGCAGATACACAAAGAAAATAATCGTATATTTACAAACAACAAAAGAAAGTCTTAATTCTTAATAAACATTTTTTGAAAATCAGCATTTGTCAGCGCTGACTCAGTAGTGGTAGTAGTGGTGGTGGTGGTGGTAGTAGCAGTGCTTGCTTGTGGCTTTACTGTTGTTGTTTTAGGTGTTACTTTTCTCGGTATTAATGCGATTTGTGAATAACCTTTTCCTCTTGGTCCCGATGATTTTGCTGAACCTCCTAATGATAACGAATTAGTGGTTGATAATGGTTGTTGTTGTTGTTGTTGTTGTTGTTTTCTTTGTGGTGGATTACTAATAGCTACTTTAATTGAATGGCCTTCTATCGTCATTCCGTCAACATTTAAAATTGCGTGTGATGCTGATTGTTCATTATCATAATCAACATAAGCAAGACCTTTTGGTTTTCCACTACGAAATGTTACTAAACGAATATCATCGACGTGTCCATGTTTTGAAAATATTTCCAATAATTGTTCTTTTGTAATAGTAAATGGTAAATTTGTTATGAATAATTTATTTTTTTCCAATGATGTTGAATATTTGAACTTCGATGATGCTAATGATTTGTCTTTATCCGTTTCGCATGGACTAACAAACATTGGACGTTCATTGACTAGTGTACGATCTAAATAATATAGTCAAGAAAAAAAAATTAAGTACGTAGTAGTAAATCGAAGTTTAAAGCTTACCTAATTTTAATGCTTGTCGACAGCTATGTTCATTTTCAAATTCCACGTAGCCAAATCCTCTTGACTTTCCTGACCAATGTTTAGTCAGTCGTACTTCTTTTATTTTACCAGCTGATGATAGAGCTTGTTGAATTTGATCTTCATTAACATCATAGGGTAAATTTGATACGAACACGGTTGTTAAACTATTTAGATCTGACACTGAATGTGGTTGGGATTGATGATTAGCTGATGTGGTAGTTGTTTGAGGTTGATTATTTGACTTTAATTTTTTTTGAACAGATGAAGATGATGGTCCAGGTAGAGCAGGAATTTTAAAAACGTCATTGTCAACGGTTGCGGGTTTCGGAACTGTTGGGGTGAAGTGATTACTTTCGCTAACTTGTGGAGACAACTTTCGTTTACGTTGCTGTTGTTTTGATGGTGACATATCAACATCAATCGATTCAGTTGTAGTAGCTAAAAAGTTCCAAAAAAAAAGAGGTTAGAAGAACCTTTAAGAAAATCTACCTGTTTAATCACTGCTGATGCAGATAAACAGATACAATTTCCGTGCATTTCTGTATTTTCCTGCCATCGTAACGGTTCCTTCACAAAAAAGAGGAATGTCAAAATTTTTTTAAGAGGGTTGTAGGATACAAAAGAGAAAAAGATGAGTCATTTTTTTTGCGAAGAAACGGTACTGACAATGTTGTGTGGATGTCAAAGTAGCTTAAGGCTCTCAAAGAAAAGATTTCATCTCACTTAAAGTATTTTTTTCCATGTTTCACGCGTAAAAGAATGGAGAAAAACACAACAAAAGAGTTATTCTAGTTTAACGCAGAAAAATATATGACCGTTCAAATAGCGTCGCTGACTGTTAAATTAATCTAAAAACAAACTCTCTCTATAGAATATTCTTCTTATCACTATTATTTTTGGACTGTCCTTGAGCTAATTTCTGTTTTTTATTTGACTGTTCACGATCAGTATGTATCCGTTTCCACTGAATTTTTGATACTTCTTCCATTATTTTTGTTATTTCTTGACTAATCAATGTTGGACTTCTCATTTTCAACAGTAATTAATGAATGTGTCGCTTGTGCATCCGATAAATCTGCTCTTTTTAACCAGTTTTGATTCCTTAGCACTAGCTTGAACCATTGTCTCACAGGGACGTCATCCACTGTTTTCTGTAACCACAAGTGATTGAATTTTGTTTCATATGACGGCATTGATAAAAAAATATATCTGAAACTATTTTCAGAACTAAAAATAGCTTAAATTTTGGTATTTTTGCTAAAATATCCGAGAAAAAGTCGAAAAGAGGACCATTACGATGCCAAGTATTTTCATGATAAACTTTTTATCGATAGAACCGAAAACAAAGACTTCATAAAGGTGGTATATTACCTGCTGTTATATCCATTGTGTTATTATCAACGTACGATCTTGATTTTTTCTGATTCTTTCGTTCTTGTTTTGGCTGTTTAGCATTTGATTGTTGTGTTTTTTTCTGTTTTTGCTGTTGTTGTTTACCTTTACTTGGTTTTTGTTCTTGTTGCTGCTTCTTCGGAACATGAATCGTTTTCAATATTTCATTTGTTTTCAGTTTTGCTTGCTTATATTGTTCTAACGTTCCATAATCTTCTTCATGTTTCAGTAACAAATGACATATCACTTCCGGTTGATCCATATACTTGTAATTGCTTAATGCCCGGTATAACAATTTTCGACAATGTTTATCATCACCATAAATGTGTTCCATTTCATAATAATCGCACCACAATTGAGATAAATGAGTGTTATTTTCTTTTTGTAAAATTCGATCATTCCATATTTTTCGTGCTTGATCTAATTGATGAAAATATTTACATTCGAGAAATGCCCAATATTTATCGAATTTACAGTTATAAAACAAATACGATTCATCTTGTGAAAAATGTTCATCATATTGATCACTAGCCGATTCGCATATTTGACGAAGTTCATCGACAAGTTGTTCGTCTTGTTTATTACCATTGTTTATAGTATCTATGAGTAAAAAACAATATAGAGGTAACTGTACAACCTTAGTATAAGAGAGGTTATTCAAATAGAAGAACTACATTCTCTGCACAAAAAAGAGAATTATGAAATTAAAATAAAATTCTCACTTTGATGTTGTTGCTGTTGTTTTTGATATTGTCTTCTAAGATAATGTATAAATGACAGATACAATTCAACGAAATCATGAATGTTTTGTAAACCCATATTAAATGCACGATTATAAACAGATTTTATTTTTACATGCTCATAGTTATAAAACTCAAGTGCTTGTGCATGTTTTATCCATAATTTAATTATCCATGGACAATTTCGTAATGAACGTTCAAATAACTTTTCACTAAATTCTTTTGATTTCAAATTTTCATCAACATAATCAAGATAATGAAGCCACAAATCACCATTCAGACAATGATCAACTAAAGAGAAAATCTTGTATAAATAAAAGATTCAATAATTATTTTTCACAATGGATAGATATCCTATCCATCCATGGAATGCCGCTCTCGTTACACTTACCAATTGCTCTTTCATATAGACATTGTATTCTTGCTGGAGATGAATTTTTTTGTCCTAATTCAAATTGTATATATTTTTCATAATCATTTACACTTATTAACTGTTCTTCATAAACTTCTCGTTCTTCTAATTGTTTCATACCTTGATCATAATCATGTTTCAAATTTAAATCATATTCTAAATGATAATTATGAGGTAAATAAAGTTTATATTGCTGACAAAATTCATTGTATTCATCGTATGTTTTTGACATATGTCTCAATGGTAATCCCAATTGACGACGATATAAATTTAATACATGTAAAACTTGTTTACTTAATTTTTCGTTTAAATCAGAATTAATATTTATTGTATCTTGTTGTTCAGTTAAACTCACTTCAATACCCATGAGAATTGCTTGTTCAACTTCTAAATAAGCTTGCCACAGGAGTATACCGTCTCGAACATGTAAACCACCAGGAATTAATGAACGTTCAAATAAATTACGAATAGCATCAATACCATCAGGTTTTCGGGTCATTTCACCAATACTAGAAACAAAAACAAAAATTAAAAAGTCATAGAATTTCTTAAAAACTGGACTAAAATGACAAGCATATCAAATACAACAAAATAGTTTCTGGTCATTAGTACTTTTTTGCTATATGAAAAATTATAGAATATAGAGGTATACCTGAATTGTAAATATTGTAGCCATATACGAATAGATAAATAATCATTGATGGCTTTTTCATACAGCTGAACTAATTTGAGACGATCACCTTCAATATCTATCGATGATTTTAATAAGTCTTCTTCATCTTTTAACCAATCTAACCATAACTGTTCAGTTAATGGAAATAAATCGGACATTTGTTGACGACTATAGCGAATATGATCTAAACTATTGTATTTTTTTGATAATGCGATATAATCTAAATATGATTGATAATTATATGGATTTTCAGTGATGCTTGTTTTCATTTTTTCTAATTCAGCTTCCTGTTGTTCATCATTAACAATTCCATTTTTATCATCCATCTCACCTTCATCCGATGATGTGGACCCCAAATCGTCTTCCTCTTCTTGTTCCTCATTTGCTTCCATTTCATCCGGATTATCTATTAAACTAGTTTGATCAGGTTTGACGGTCGTCATTATCTAAAAAAATAATAAAAATTTTGTATCGGTTCTGTTCTTTTTTCGTATATGAGCTGATGTTAAGAAACGAATTAACACTAGAACACCCGGAAATTTTCATGACCTAGAACGCCCAAAGCGGTCATTTTGACCGTTACTGGTCTTTTTAAAAATTTTATACTTAAAAATGGTTCTGAATTAAAAAATGAATTAAAAATTATGCAAAAATAATTTTTGTGGGACAAATTAAAAGTTATGACATAATTTATTTTTAAATAAATTGTATGCAGTTTGTTTTATTAGGGATAAAAATCACAAAACGGTCAAAATGACCGCTACGGGCGTTCTAGTGTTAACTTTGTCTTAACATTGACAAATGTTAATATTAAACATGTTCTGATACCATATTCCACGTGAAATATGACAAATTCACAATCTCTACACTATCATAGATGCAAACTTTTCTATATTAGCAGTGTTTTCTTCGAATAAGCATTTCTTTTAGTTAATAAAAACGAAAGCAAGAAGGACTAGCAATCGAAGCATTATCATTTTTTTCATAAAATGGCAGCAATTTTGGATAAAAGGATAATATCCGCGTACTAATGGAGGAAAAGTGCACTAGTCTTATGATTTGGAAAGAGGTCGCTTGTACCTCAGTAATACCAAAAGCGACATCGACTAAAATTACTTTGTTTGCTGATCTACAGTAACGTGAAGATACTATATTAATGTCACATAAATGTTAGGGAAAATGTTAATCGAAATCAATAGCATGAATAGCTGTAATAAATAGTATTTATTTCTACAGATCTCATTGAATAACATCTTGCTACAGTAAAGATTAACTTCTGCGGCCGCAGAACACTTAAGTCTGACTTAAGTCTAGACTTTGACTTAAGTTTTTTCGTGATATGACCTCCCTGATGACTAAAACCTATGACTTCATCAACCATGCCGGTAGGTTCATTTTTTTCATATCGCATCACCGACAGAAAAATAAAGTTCATTCAGAGTTGCGAAAAAGTGCTTTTTGTATTCAGCACACTCGATAATTCCGACGATTTTCTAGTGTGCTGAAAATGCCCCGACATTTTTGACGAGGATGCTGCCAAAAGTTTAAGAAAACTTTTAAAACTAATACTATCTTCCCATGGGGAAATTTTGTTTCGCCATTGTATTCAGAAAATATTCCTAAAGTTTAGTTAACTTCAGCTCAGTATTTCTCTTTATAGTCTTGATTTAGTTTTTACAAAATCTCTATGACAAAATTTAAGTCTAATTTAGTTGATTCTAGACTTAAAACTTCTTTTTAAAAATAATGTTTTACATCCACTCACTAGCTCAGAACCCAAAGGAGGAACTAGTAATTCGATTTCATATAAGCTTTATTCTGTCAGAATACAAGCGGAAAAATATTTCGTTATAGTATTTTAACCTAATGCTATCGAAAAACACAAAATCAATTTTGTACGAATAGACATTCGAACACCTAATTCGAGTTTTAGATATGAAACATCCCAAATTTAAATCTAAATTATTTCACCTCTTCAGGTTAAACTCTATTAGTTAATCTCTATTTTTTCCAGGAGGGGCAATTGCTCCGCTGGCGGCCCGCCAATGCCCATAAGCCCAAGCCCGTGAAAGGATGGGGGCGTACTTGATCCGAAAACGGCCCCTCATTTCTTTGCCTTATTTTGGCTGGACTTTTGTCGAAAGGACATTTGCACACATTGTCCAGTTGTTCTTATGGAAAATAAGCTCAAAATACGTATTTAACCTTGGTTGTTTTGAGATTCCATCAGAGACCGTCGTTCTTAGAAAAAGCAACATCCTTGAAAAATTCAGCATATGTTTCCCACAAACCTTGGTATGAAAAGATAGCCAGTGAAAGACTGAATAAAATACTCTATGAACAATCCGTATACATCATTTCAATATGAAGAAATTATTTTTACAACAGACAAATTGACATGAAACGTGGTATCACGGATGTTTTAAGTACTTTTCTCGCCATATGCAAATGAGGATGCAACTTGTATTTGGTATAGAAACATAGCCCTTGATTTGCTCTACAAAATTTTACATAAAGAACCTTTAACCACCATTGGCCGAGTCACTTATAGTTTCTACAAGAGACAAATTGCACTTAAAAAGACGATATCAGCGATGTTCTAAGTACTTTTTTCTCCATATAAAAACAATGATCCGACTTGTATTTGATATAGAAAAATACCCACTGAAAAACTGAATAAAATAGTATATGAACCATAGTTACATACCATATTACTAAGGAGAAATGGTTTATTTTCAATCATTCCCTATCTAGTGACTATGCTTGAGTGATCAAATTTTCCCATTTTCTCCCATAAGCAAGAGAAGATGCAACTAGTCTTTAGCATAGAAAAATAGCTCTTGGAAAGCTGTACAATATTTTGAGTAAACAAACTCTACATACCAGTGGCTCAGTCCATTATAATTTAAATACCATTATGTCTGTTGTAAAAATAATTTCTTCATATTGAAATGATGTATACGGATTGTTCATAGAGTATTTTATTCAGTTTTTCAGTGGGTATTTTTCTATATCAAATACAAGAACGACGGTCTCTGATGGAATCTCAAAACAACCAAGGTTAAATACGTATTTTGAGCTTATTTTCCATAAGAACAACTGGACAATGTGTGCAAATGTCTTTTCGACAAAAGTCCAGTCAAAATAAGGCAAAGAAATGAGGGGCCGTTTTCGGATCAAGTACGCCACCCTCCTTTTTATCTTGTCTCGAGCCCAAACCGCTTAAAGTTATTTTTGTCCCAAGCCTGTCTGTCCCTCGGAACTACCCTGCAGGAGTCTGTTGCTCTTGCCAGAAATAGACTTATTCAAAGATTCTGGCTTTGAATTTCTTTGGATTAATAAGTGTGGTAGCACAATAGTAATGAACAGTAAAATAATTATCTAAAGGGTATTTTTCAAACCTTTTTCTTTATCATTTAATGGAGTTTTTCCGATCACATATCTAGCGTTAGCGCAAAATACATTAACTTTTTCTACTTCTTAACTTTTAAATTGAATTGTATCATTGATGAATGGATGAGTTTATTCTTTTATTTATTGTACTTATTTGTAATTCAGCAAAACTGGACAAGTCAGAACTGTGATTTGACTTGCACACTTCTGAAATTCAATCATCAATAAAAAGTATAAAACAAATCTCAGATTTTGTATACTTTTTGAGCGGGTAAGATCTTAAAGATGAACGCCCATGTGCCGCCAATGACGAGCACTAGTATATAGCCATCCAACAGTCAAACGACGGCGATCAAAACAGCTGAATTTGCTACTTTTTTAAATTTAATTAATTTCAATTTTGCTGAATGAGCGTCTTTCCAAATCGACTAAAAACTATCCAGTGCCTATACGAAACACCCCCATAATATACTCTCTGGATCGTAAGGATTTTTGACCTTGCTCTATCTGATGGTGCCATTGGATTTAGTTGATTCTGACTTGACGATGGGCTTCTTGAAAACCGAGCTTTAGAGCACAGGTTCTCGGAAATATTCATATTAAAAATATTCGTCGCTATCCTTTAATTTTTTAAACAAGTTCATTTGACAAAGTTTCATTTTAGCTATTTACAACAGTTCTTGTTTTTGGAAAAACTCAAAATCTGAAGGTTGTTTTCTTGTATTGCTATTATCGTCGTTACGTTCTTAACTATATTTGGGAACTTTTAGGAATTTACGTGAATTCAGATGAATTTTGAATTTATTTGAATTTAACGAACTAACTTCAGATGTTTTCCCCTTCCAAACAACACAAGGAAATTATTGTACGTCTGAATGAGTAAAACTACAAACAAATATTGGTTAAAGTCAATCACAGGATTAGTAAACTATAGGCACACTGGAACGAACTTCATATACTTCATCAAAATTTTTTTCTTCCTACTATTGACAACATAATTTGTTTTTAAAAACAAACTAAAAGTGGATTATTCTATAAGTTTACACACACACATACAAAATCAAAATTATCAATAAAGCATGGAAAAAGATTCACTCAAATGAGTGAGACAAACAACGGAAAACACAAAAACAATGGCTAATGTAATTTAATTATCAAAAAAAAATAGAAAAATAGAAGTATGAAATGGTATAAATCAGCATAGTTTTTTTAATAAATAAGAAACAAATTGAAACAAAAACAAACTAGTCATGACACGCAGATGAAAAATCAAATGACATCAAGAATATGAAAAGTATCTGGGTCAAATTCACTATTACAAATAACTTAAATGAACGTATAATTAAAATGTTGGTGAACAATTATATTTCCAAAAATCTTGTATTCTTTGTTGTATAACGGAATCAACCAGCCATCGTGGACGCAAAAATTTCACACCTTTTTTAATACCCTCTTCATAACCAGGTCTATTTTTGATGTTTTCATCATCCACCAGAACAAAACAATATCGTTCAAATATTGTATGAGGAAATGTACCTTGGTGGAAAAAGAGACCACCTGATAACCAGACCAGTTCACCTAGTTCTTCAGAATCCATTCCCAAACAGCCACGAGTACAGAGTTTAACTAAAAACAACAGACTAAACGTAGAACTGTGAATTAAACTAAAAGAAACCTTCATACCAAAATAATTTGGTGGAAATAATCGTTTATTCTCTAAATGATTTATTCTTGATGTACGTGCTCCGTAGTGCTGATGGGATATCGATGTATCACCACGAATTTCAAAATCTTTCCAATCAATTATTCGTTGTTGTTTTAAACATTCATCAATCCACAGATAAGAAATGACGTTGAGATGTCGCGCGATTGCCTGAATAACATTTTTTGTTAATGTACAAACGAATGATTGACCAGCAATTTCTACGTCATCTGTTATCAAATGCGTTGTTTTCTCATTAACTATGTCCAACAACGGATTTTCTATTTGAAATTTTGATAAAAATTCTTCGATTTTCAACTTTTAACAAAGAAAACATTAATTTGACGAATTGGTAGATCCTAAGCATTTCTTTTCACTTACCTTTTGTTTAATCGTTAAATTACTCGCTGAAATGAATACTTTTTGCTGTATATATAAAACCGTTTCATCAAAATTATTTCGCGTGAATGATGTGTTGTCCACATGGGCATTCTCGATCATTTCGAAGCCCTTTAATTGTGTATCTAAACATACAACATCGACGGGTTCATCTAATAAAAATAAAAATTTGTCGTCATGAGCGCAAATATGTTTGTCAGAGCTAAGCATACTTTTAATTGGAACTGGAAACGTTTTAGTAACAATGTCTAAAAATGAAACAGTTCAGTACTGATCGTTCCTCACGAGAAAAAAACTCACCAGCAACATTTCCATTGCTTTCGGCTGATGTGTTAACGGAATCGCCGTTATCTTAAGTGAAAACATGTATGGTCTTATCAATATCCCTGTGAAAATGTTTTCTTTTTTACCCTTCATATTGTCAAAAATGTCTAACTACGGTCATCCATGAAGATAACCATGAACAAGGAGCAGAATATAAGAGAAATATGTTCAAAGTTGCTATAACGATGGTCTTTAACTACACGACATACTGACCGTTTTACTTCTGTTTTATATGCCGAAAAGCGGTTCCATAGTTCTTGCTTAGTAATTATCATAAAGAACTCACTCATTTATAAGCTGATTATCACTCTAAAATTTCAATACTCGAACCTTCAATATCGGTATGATTGTCATTCTTCGAACTTGTATCATCATCTGATTGTTCATAATCAATATGCAATACGTCGGTAACATCATCTATACAAGAAATAAATAGCAGAAGGGCTCTGTATTGTGTATAAAAAAAGAACTAATCTCCATCATCAAGGTTATTATCAATATTCATAGTAACTTATGATGACAATTCAACTGGACAATATATCGAACCAGAATGTATTATTTACCTTCTTCGAGATCATGAACATCAACATCCTTGGCTTCTATTACTGTTGATACTGCTTTCGGTTTTATCATCAGTTTTCGTTGTTTTGCAAAGCGTTTATATTTTTGTTGTCCAATACGTGCCATTTTATTTTGTTTCACTCGTTGATTTATTAGCCAATATGTAACTTGTTTAACTGAAATATTTGCCATTTTAGCTAATATTTTCTTTTCTTTGTATGATGCGTAGGGATTCCAATGTTTATTTTTATTGAACCATTCTTGCAATGGGGCTAAACGAAAGAGGAATGCATAAACAGTATAAAAACAAAGAATTTGAAAGTGTGAAATCCGTTTAACAATCTCAACATTTTTAATTTTGAGAGAAATAAATGGTTATTACATGCATCTACTTTAGCATTTACTAGCATGACTTTCTTCGAAAAGGCCAGAAAAAATGATAACTGTACAATTATCAGTTACAGTATCATACAAACAGATCGCACATTAGCGTTATCCTCTTAGAAAAACAAATTTCATACTTCATACTCTTTCATCGTATATGAAAATATATTCAATACAAACCATTATTACGTTCATTTTGTTTAACAAATTTTTTTATTTTTGATGGACATTTTAATACTGGTAATGACGATGACAGTAATTGTTTTTGTAAATTAAGTGTCTCGTGTGTTGGTAATGTACGTTGACCATTTTCGACATGAAAAACTGTCACATCTTCAAATGGTATGCGAGGTGATTCAATTAATTTGTTTGTTAATGTTTTCACTGCTGATGTTGGCCAAGATTTTGTTAACTGAAATATAGAAAAATAAAATTAGCGTAAGTATAATATGCTTCGGTTTTACTTTCTCAACATGTTGAACGGAAGGAAAGTCTTTCATGCAGTCTCAGTAAACAAACTGACGATATCTTAACTATTAACTACATTACATTTATTTTTGGTTTAAAAATAAATGGTTGATAAAACGTTTTCGCGTTTTTTACTGTTGTTCGTTCCGAAATGTTTTTATTATTTTTAGTAAAATATTGTCTTGAATCGACTAATGCGGATGCTCGTTCCTTGGCTATTGGTTTCACATCGTTTTTACGTTTTGATGAAGTCGTAGTAATGGCATCGGTAATACTTTTGAGAAAACGTTGTTTTTTATTTTCTTTTGAATTATCATCATCCGTTTTTATGTGCATTCGATCTTTTAATTGTGTTCGACATAAGTTATATTTATTTGCTTGGTCGTAACGATCATATGCTGTTAATGAGCAAAGACGAAGCCATGATCGGCTGCTATATTTTTTATTTACGCAGCTATCGCAGGTTTGCATTTCATCTGTCATCAATTTATCGTTATTTTCATCGGTTGTTATTGTTACTGGTGTTGGGTGTATTCGATGTGTATTTGATAAACACAGTCGTTGTTGCATGATCTAAAGATATGAAAAAATACTACAATCCGATAATCAAAGTCACCTTTCTTGATTTGTCTTTCTTAATAACAACTATAGATAGAAATAATGTCAGATTTTGAAAAACTTCGAAGTTCGAGCGTATTCAGTAGTAATAAGCTATATATATACTCCTAAATAGTTGAATTGCTTGGGTAACAGAGCTCCGTATGAACTGGACTGGAAATGTTTTTGAGCTCATGGACTTGGAATGGGCTAGACTCAAACTTTCAAGACCATGGAATGATTTGGACTCGAAGAAAAGTTTTGGATTCACTTGAATTGAGGAATTATTAGTAAAAACAATGTTGTTTTTGTATTGCGGACTGGAATGGTCTACTTTTTTAGAGTCCATGGACTGGACTCACAATTTTTACTCTTTACAACACTCTCTTTTCTTTTTCTCATCTCAACAAAACTAAATTTTGATTTGAACAGCTTAAAAAGTGTACTTTCTGAAAATTTTATCGTATATAGGCTACTCAATTGAGGTCCATTAGGAGCGAAAATTAGGAGAAAAGTTCCGCAGACGAGGCAATTTTGTGATTATCATTTTACGTTGTTTGTAGTGATTTGCTCCTCGTATTTGCTCTTAACGTATCCTAGCCTATATAATAATATAAACTAAATTCATTCTTAAATAGGATGAACATGTGACCTCCATTCGTCGAAAAGAAAAAGAAAACTGTGCATCATATTTGATACACGTGCATAGATGTATTGTTTCGAATAACTTTTGTTCGCTTAAATGTTAAATGTGAATGAGTAGAAAGAGTTCGACTTCATTTTTAAAATACTGGTCGGTTAGTGTGTAGCCTAATGATATTCTCATTTCGTACACTGCTGTTGTATTGCATAAGGAAAACTGCGACTAGTTTGATGAAAGTTTTAGACATATTTAGACTCAAATTAAGGTTTTCGATTCTTGTCACTGATACTGATATATTTGCTAGTTTATACTATAAAGAGCGCTGTTTTTCACAGATATTGCAGTAGTAGTCGCAACAAGCATCCAAGACCGCGAAAAAAGAGTCACAAAAATTAATTTATGCTTGAATTTCTATAAAACTTTTATCCAATGAATCGTGTTTTCACGATGCAACAAGTGCAAGAAATAACAGGCTGTTTTGCAGTAGCCTACGTAGACTTGTTCCTTGATACTTTTGAATCAGAAGTATCAAGGAACACGTCTGCGGATAATTCGAAATTTTGCTGAAATGCCTGTCTCTTGTATTTTCAAAAGTTTTGCTCTGAAGGAAGATGCAGCGGTTTTTTTGATATGAGAAACAAATTCGTGAATCGAATAACTAACACATGCATTCAATATTTGAACTGTTATTGATCGTCTCATTTATTCAACTTCGAAACGTTTGACGTGTCATTAGAGAAAATGTGAATCTACTTTGACATTTATATAATTCTGCATTTGTATTGCACTATTTGTAAATCTTAAAAATTGATAAAATGCAGTAACTCACGTTTCTCACATTAAACTTAAACTTGGATAAAATCAGGCAACGAGATAAATAGATATCATATTACATGTGACTGTTTTTCTGAAAGAATCTCAACATGTTCAGATTAACAATGTTCTCAGCGGAAACAGCGTATAACATCTAAGAAAGATTTCATCACCACATTGTCGTTTCTGAAGAGAATTGTCGTTTCTGAGAATCTGATGAATAGAACTCCGCGATAGTAAATGAAAGGTGGCTTTCAATATATATTAGCACAAAGTCGATAGAATCATTCAAAGTTTATCGAGCAATGAGAATCTAAGTTAAATACGGCTGTGAGAAAAGAACGTGATGAGGAAACTATCATCATTTTAGTCGACGACACTCGATTTTGAAGACGTCAAATTTTTTTGTATGCCGGCTTGTACAATAGGAAAAGAGAAAAGATGATAACAGTTCTATCAAGATGGACGCAAGCGCGTTATACAGATCGTATACAAGTGCTTCAAACTTTTGTCGATTATCAGATGAACATGAATTATTGTATGCAATGGATATCACATTTCGCATTAAATCTGCTCACCAATCAAATGATAAAGGTTCGCATGTTAAACTGATATTCAGAAACAAAAATAGTAGAACGCTAGAAAGCTGCTGATATATATGGAAGGTCGATTTGCTTGTAATCTGCTTCGTGGATAAAGGAGTTGATGAGAAAGAGGCGCTTGTTTACGTTCTGCATAAAAGAGTTGGCAAAAGTGAATTAGAACTGTAACGGTGTGATACAAAGCGCTGATAGTAAAGATTCATTATCAGTAAAACCTTTATTGCCTTTATTGTCATAGGTTTTTGATAAATATTAGAATATCTTTAAATAACAATCAAAGATAGGCAACTCTGACAAAGTTCAATCTCACCGTCTAACTCTAACTCCACTTCAACTCTGATAATCACCTTTTCTGTCTTGTTGAGGAAATGACGTTTATATATGCATGTTATATAAACGTTGAACATAGTGGCGTAACCAGAAACTGGCTATAGATACGGCGGTGGCCGTACCGCCTCCCAAAACTTTTTGGAGGTAGTGTCTGCCAAATTCTGCAGTGGGTACGGCGAAAGTACCAATAGGTACGGCGGCCGCCATACCTTGGTTACGCCACTAGTTGAACACATGTTGATATCGCGTTGTAAGAAAAAATCTGATGTGATGTGATAAAAAAAGCAAAGAAAAGTGTCAGAGTTGTAGAAATTTCGAATCAAAATTGCGGCGTTGAGAAAATCTAGACCCAATGCAACCCGGCCAAATAAAAGCACAACTCAATCCCAGAGTTGGTGTTGCCCACTTCTGGTAACAATCAAATAAAATGAGTGAAATACGCTGTTGATTGCCTCATACTATTATACTTACTTTAAATTTCGATGTGCCTCATTCATTTCATTATATGGTTGTCTCAATAATACAAGATTACAGGAAAAGTTATTTAGTTCACAAGACTATTTTTATCAGTGTCATACACACACATACTCGCACGCAGATGCAATTTCCTAATATCCTTCTGATTCTGCATGAATGAACTCATGAATTTTATGTTCATACAATGTACTAAGAGAAAATTTTACTAGTACAGATTTCATTCCAAATTATAAACCATTAATTTTCCACCTTTCTTTTTACTTTTTACAACTCCAAATATAACTTCATTATCATCAGTTAGAGCCATTCCATAAATATTTTGTTCTTGAATACGAGAAATAACTTGTGGCTCTTCAAAATTTGTCCAATCGACCACAACTATTTCTTGAAATTTATTTTCGTATGAATCAGGTACATATTTCATAATTAAGAGAGGTTCCGTAGGATGAAGTAAAACTGAATAAATATTTGATGTATCAATTTTATGATAATATTTAACACATTCTAATGAAACTGCTACTGCATATTGATAATGATGTTTCTTGTCATAGAGTAACATTCGATCTTTAGTATTACTTAGATCATGAATTCCAACAAATTTCTCATTTGCAGTTAACCACACAGGTTCAACAATATCAGCTGACGCCTTATAGTTCTTTTCATGAACTAATTTTAAATGTAAATCAGTACTGTCTACTCCTGTTAAAACGCTATATAGAGAACAACGAAAAGTAATATGACTACACATCCAGAAATCATTTGTTCCATCACCGGAATACAACAGTTGATCGGGTAAATCTTGTATAATTAATTTGTGAATAATACCACCATGATAATTATAGAATGAAAGTAATTTTACATCTTTTTCGTATGATATCAAATAATCAGTGGTACATGTAAACGCTGTAATCATTTTTCTCACTTGTAAAGTATATTTTTCTTTTAATAATGGTTGACGGCGTAATTTTTTCGAATAAGAATACACTCGAACATAACCATCTTCGTCACAAATAAAAATATAATTTTTAACTACGGAAATAAAAGATGGAATAATATCAAGATCAATTGAATATCGCATATATTGAAAACAGTCTTGTGAATAGGCAACAAGACTTGATGCATCAAAAGCAATATGTCCACCGCTCGATTTTCTTGATAATAGCCGATTATTATCGCTTAATAGCACAGAGCGAGTATCATAACTAAGAGCAGATTCATTTTTCATTTTAATTTGAACCTAAAAAAGATTTAAACGATAAATTAGAAACGATCTAAATTCTAAAAAATTCTTTGAATATTTTCATTATTATTACCTGTTGAATTTGAATTTGTCGCAGTAAATTTTCAATTGTATTGATAAGTGGTTCAATTTCACTTAAGTTACCAATTAAAAATTCAGATGAACTACAATAGATTTTATTGCTGAATATATTTTTAAGTTACGTGTATGATTTCTACTCACGATAGATTTGTATTTTGCAATTTTTGATATAATTGATTTCTTTCAAGATCTTTCCATAATGTGTTGAGTTTAGCTAATAATCTAAAGTTCATAAATATTAGATATATGAGATTGAACATTATTGACTTATCTGCGTACTACCTTTCATTATCTTTTGTCGAATTTTCAAGTTCTCGTGAAATACTATCTCGTCTTACTCTCAATTCTATTTTTGTTTTTTCATAATTTTTTTGTAGAGATTTAATTGCATCTAAAGCAATATTTGAACAGTTCTTTATCGAACTTTGAATAATATCTAGGTGAAACACAAACAAACAGGTGATAGTGATACAGTGCAATAACAACTAACAATATGTGAATAAAATGTGAAAATAATAATTGTTTACTTGTTTGTGTTCGAAGTTCGTTGATTCGAAACTTTAATTTTTGTTTTTTTTCTATTATATGTTGTCGAATATCTTCAGCGTCAAAATTTTGTTGTTTTTCATGTTTTTCTGAACATTGTTTACATTTTGGTTTTTCACATACTAAACATGCTTGTAGTTCACGTCTACTACCACATTGGGTACATAATGCAATAATTCGAGAATTATTTCTTTTAGGTGGCATCAGTTAAATTAAACTAGTAAACTGAATAATTAAATCATTTAATTAATTAGTCAAAATATACAAACAAAACTTTTTACCGATTAACTTTACACATTATTACTCACCACAGTTGTATCGAATTTTTCACAAACAATGTTTTAGGATTTCACTTGTTTTATTTTTCAATAAAGCACACACATACACATCGAAAAAATTTCGAGTGCTATCACAAATAAAAGGACAACAAGACAAAAAAAAGCTGTCTTCAACAAATTTAAGTGCACTTTTGTTCATTTTTGCTCACCTTGAAATAAATGAAAGATGTATCGAACAAATGTGAAGATTTTTTTCGATTTTTCATATTTGGGTTACTCGCAGTTTACAATATAATCATCTGATTATTCATTGATAGTGAAAGAAAAGAAATATTCTCTCTTTCTACATTAAACGATGATTTACATTTAAAAAAAAATCTATACAAATTCAATCTTTGTACATGTGAATCTATAGAAACAGTTGAATATTATTTATTTTATTATGTGTTACATCGGTCACCTCGTCCCATCTTGAAAGGCTCTCAGACATAAAAACGCCCTCATCCTCATAACTCTTGATTATTTATTACTGAAATTAATTCTATATAGAGAACGTTCTATCTACATCCATAACTGTGTTAGTAAATATCTGGAAGGCACAAAATGATTCCCTATGTAGAGATATTTATTCGTTCGTTTTATTTTCCAGATACATTCGGAACATAGTCGATTGCCAAATTTTCTACATGACTTGTCTCACCAAAACGAGAAAATAAAAAAAAAACGCTTTTTGTTTCGTTTTTTCATACTAAAAAACGCATTTTTTTTATCCGTTTTTTAGTATGAAAAAACGAAACAAAAAGCGTTTTTTTTTATTTTCTCGTTTTGGTGAGACAAGTGACGTAGAAAATTTGGTAATGGGAGTACTAGTAGTAATAATGCAATACGAGATATTTTTTAGGACATATATTCTTCATTTTTTCATATGTACATCGAATTAAGAGGATTATAAAAATTTGTGTATCTATCCGCTTTTTACTTTTTCACTTATTAAGTTTTTATTTGGCTAGTCTTTTATTTTTAGTACGTTTGGTTATTTCTCTGTTATTTAACTATCTCTCTTTACTAAGTATTTATTATATCATTGATTCGGACACCTGAGTAATAATGAGGTTTCTGATCACTCTTCTTTGGACAGGCCTTAGCTCTTTTTTGATGTGTGTTAGACTACGATTAATTCCTATAAATAAATTTTAAACTAATACTCTTTCTACCGAAAATCGCATCAGAGACGGGAATATTTATTTATTTCTTACGAAAAGGATATTATGGAGAATTTGTGCTTGCCGCAAGATCAAAACTTCGGACCTTTCGTAGATTAGCAGCACATAGGTCATTAATACATTATCTTGTTTGGGATGTCTGAAACGACGTTTTATTAGACTTGTTACGACTGAATTTTTAACAGTGAAATATGTCAAAAAAAACTTTTCATCATAGACTTTTGCATTGGATTGGGGTTTGCTTTAATAGCTGATTTTCCCGGTCTAATTATTATATGTAGATTAGGGACCTACACGGGTTAAGAAAACGTAACCCGAACCTGACCCGATAAATTTTTACTCTTTTGTTTTATTTTTTAGTTTATGTCTTTTTATTTACCTACTTATTTAGCGGGGGGCATCGCATTCATCGAAAGTACAAAAGATAATTTCACTTCTTAATTCTTTGTTCTGACTGAGTTACAGAATTATTACTGTTACTACACACAGTGTTCCTTTAGAACAAAAAAATTCATACCTTTTGAAAGAACTGATATGGGTTCTCCTTTGAGGGCTTTTATCTCCTCACTTTACTCTATTAAGTGGCATCATATCATTAAAAACGTAGTTGGACGTCTGAAGACCTTACCTCGTTAGCGAATGCAGTTATTCTGAAATAAATATTTCAACTGAAAATTCCAGTAGAATTAACTTTTCAATGATTAATACAAAATTGATATTATTATTTATATTTTAAATTGGGTCGGGTTGCAGGTCTCTATTGTAGATTTCTACTTATTATGGAAAAAGATTCAACATACACTGGTCAGAAAGATAAACGAACGCTGGCACTCATTAAACCAGATGCAATTCAAAATACAAATGAGATTGAAGATATGATACTGAAAAATAGTTTTACCATCTTGCAAGTGTCTTCACCTTTGATAATAAGCCATTTATTTGAATGTTCTTTTCCACTTTAGAAGCGTCAAGTTACATTGACAGCTGAACAATGTTCCGATTTTCATACTGGCAGTAAGCATTATGGCAAGCTTTTTCCATCTCTCGTTGCATTCATGACGAGTGGACCAATATTAGCCATGATGTTGAAGAGAGAAAATGCAATAGGTGCATGGCAAGAATTAATTGGGCCGACAAATTCAACCCAAGCTAGAGAATCATATCCTGACAGTAGAGTACTGTCAGAGTACTCTTAGAGTAGTAGAGTACTCTTTCGCTCAGATTAGTAGTTTATGTTGTTGTTATTTTGTTTGTCTTCTTTTGATTAGTGTTCGAGCACTTTTTGGCACAAATGAAGAGAAAAATGCTGTGCATGGAAGTGATTCACCTGTTAGTGTTGAAAGAGAAATAAGATTCTTCTTTCCAAATTGTAAGTGGTAAACTTATGCACAGAAAAGAGTACTCTTGGTATCTGATAGTGTTTTACAGGTTGATTGATTTTCTCAATCTTTTATTCTGTGTTTTTCTAGAAATCAATCCTATGTTTAAGCTTTTGAAGGCTATAGTTACACTTTCTAGTCAGATAAATTATCTTATGAACTTGTTACGCAGCATGAATATAAGAATTATATTGATAAAATCTTGTACATTCAAATCTTGTCTATTATTTTTATAGCAAATCCTACTCGACCCGTTATCATCTTTGGACCATTTAAAGAAACTATATATGATCGATTAATGACCGATAAACCAGATAAATTTGCAATTAGTGTACCACGTAAGTTTTTGCTCATATATTACTAAACATATAAAAATAAATTTATTTAATTGTTATTTAGACACCACTCGTCCCCGTCGCGATAACGAAATAAATGGCCAATATTATTATTTTGTACCGTCTCGTGAACAAATGGAAGAAGATATTCAAAATCATTTATTTATCGAAGCGGGAGAATATAAAGAAAATTTTTATGGAACATCCGTGCAAGCTGTCAAAGTTTCAGAATCGGTGAGTTAATTCCTCATGTGACATACTGTTTGTGTTATTATTTTACTTGTTTGTGTAAGGTAAACATTGCTTATTAAATGTGCGTGATCTCGCAGTCAAATATTTAAGAGTAGCCGGTTTATATTCAATAACTATTTTTATTAAACCACCAGATGTGAAATGGATCTAGTAAGAAATTTAATAATAGCGTTAAGTGATCTAAATCTTTCGTCGATTTTAGCGATAGTATGGGTGCAGATGCTAATAAAGAGAGCGCACAAAAATTATATGATAAAACAGCAGTTGAAACTGAACAAATATTTTTGGATATGTTTACTGGTAAGTACTGTAATTGAGAGGAAATATTCACTCTGCTATACGAAGTATATAATTGCTCCCTGTTTTATCAAGTTTGTAAAAGCCAATGAGATTATCGTTGAGTTTTTGAAAACTTTGCCATTAGTTTATTCCTCTAATAAAGTCTTTATTTCTTCAATTTTTTCCTCAAATAAAGAGAGTATGGCTATTATCATCACATGCGTACTATTTCTACACTTTTCTCTACTGAGATACAAACTATTACTATCCATTTCATAGGACAATGCAGTTGGTTGCAACTTGAATAACTTCTCAATTGAAGTAGCTAGAGACGTGTGGTTTGCGTTGTTAGAAAGAGAAAAGATCATTTTATCAGGAAATGTAACATTCAAGCAGATTGCACCGGCTTCTGGTGCCACTTATCGGTGGAACTTCTTTAAGTGGGCTTAGCGCCGAAAGTTCTTATAGCATGGAGTTGTCGTATGACATGAGTTTGATAGAGCAAGCATTTCTCTACAACCCTACACAATCAGAAAATTTATTAAACTTCAAGTCTGGCCAGGGAAGGCCAAAAACCAAAACCTCTAAAAATCACTATAATCCTTCAAGTTTAATAAATTGCAATCAACTGCATTGTCCTGTGAAATGGATAGCAGTGAACATCAATTAGAAAGTATAACCAACTTGAAGATGCCTACACTTTAACTGTCATTATCTATTTGGATGTAAAGGAATGTTAAAATTTATCATAGAGATAGTAATAGACAAAACACTAGTGAATGAGCATGCTACCACTAGGAAATTTTGTATTAATAATCCACAAATACTGTATTGTACATTCTATTTCAGCTGTTGTTAAAGAAAATACATTGAACGATGTCTATGAAAAAATATGTCAGATAATTGAAGAACAGCAAAATATTGACTAATATATTATTTTTATTAATCCGTCTACATTTAAAATTGAGTGTTATATTCTTCTGTATGATAGACTTACTTTACTGCTTATCTTTTTTATGAAATATTCTATATACTCACTCACTCATTTCACTATATTTTTTTAAAAAATAATCATCTTCGTGAACTTAACAGCTTTTTCTAGAAATAAAAGAATAAACAAACAAGTTGAATGTTGTCAAGAACAATCTAGCTAAATTACTTACCAATAATTGGATCATCAAGAAGGCATGGTGGTCTCACGATGGTATAATCAATATATTGACATTCTTTTTCGAGATATTCTTCCTTGATGAACATTGAATCCAAATGACGGTCAATCATTGGACGAATTATTAATTTAAATTTCAGTGGATATACGAACGCTTGATCTGAAGAGAAAACAAAAATAGTTTTTCAAATTCTTTTCACATTTCCATCTTGCTCTACCTTTTACACTTTGCATAATGCTGGTATACACAATAAACGTTTTATTTTTGAATTTATCATGGCTGTTATTATAGATTTTATTGAATCAAATAAATGTACCTGTTAAATGTCCGTTTTGATGCAGTTTTTTCTCTATTTCAAAATGTCAGAAAGCTGATCATAAATTGGCATTTAACAGCCAGTTTAGAGCCGCCCATCCATTCACCATTTTATTTTGCCATCATGACTAGTATAAATGACGGAAAGGACCCTGTCGGATTTCAAAAGTATGTCGAACCAATCAAGATTTTAACCAAAAAATGAAAATCAACTAAAAATTTCGAAATACCCATCAGCCGATCAGCTTTTTATCCTAATTCCGAATATGATATTTCTACTGCATAAAAGTTGAGTTATGATGAAGAAAATTGAAAAATACCGGCAGAATTCCGACTTTTCGCCTCCGATTTAGAAAAACTGAGTTTCTCAACAACGAAACAAAATTCTAAAAAAGCCACACGCACTTTTAAAGCTGAATTCAAGGCGAATCGAATGGCATACGAAACTTGGTTCCATCTCTTCACACACAAAACTAGATAGCTTTACAGAATGACTCATGTCTATTATCCATTGGTTCTTTTGGAAGTCTTTTGACCAAATATATAAAACTCCCTTGGACTCAGGTTCATTCGAAGATCGCGAGTATGGTGTTAAAATTGGGTTTTTTCTGGTCTGATTTACTTATCAACAAGTTCAAGTCCAAAATATACCCTATTTTGGGATACATTTTTCAAGTAAAGATTTTTTCCCATAGAAGTAAATGCATTCAGATCTTAGAAATTGACCCAGACTTTTGAGTTTTTTCAATCGAAAGAATATATAAGTTTTAATTCAGAGACTAACAAATAGGACGTCTCTTTGTAACCATAGTGCGGTGTGGGGTGGAGTGGGACGATGAGAGTGAGCCGCTACCCAACATTGAATCATACGCTACAGTTCATTCTGATCCCCGTAATTCGTCGATTTATGACTATTCTCAATATGTGAGTAGAAACCGATTCCATACAAATTCACAGAATTTTTGACCTTTTCGAGTTCAAGAAATTCATAAAGGTCACATTCTCAACTTTTCAATTATTGTACGCTTTCAGTTGGAAAAACTAAACGGTGTCTGCCAATTCCTGAATTGTTGAATCTTTCTCGGGTTTGATGAATTCAATTTCCGAATTCTTGAATTAAGAAAAGGCTTGATTTTATTTCTGAATACTTGATGCTAATCCTGAATTCGTGGAATGGATAATTCTGAATTTCTGAAATTTGAGAAACTGGAAGAACGCTCGATGCTAATTCTCGAAGTCTTTCTGCTAACCTTGGAAATTTTATCAATATAAAGTTCTATGAACTCGACTACCCCTTACTCGCACATGTAACATAGGTATGATAGACTTTTTTCATAAATGACCCATTTTTCCTAGAAGAACAAGCCTCTATTGCCCATTACTGAACTAGTTTATACAGTTTTCATTGCTTTACAAGAATATGGGTAAGACAACATCTCATTGTACTACATTACCGAATCTTGATTCTTCCTCTTACATCAATACCGATTAAAAATCAAAAACATGGTGACAACCATATCTCGGTAACCAGAAGGTATTAACCAAAACCCAATCCAGGGTTAGATCCATCGCAAGAAGCTCTACAAAACCTTATATATAACTTTCTGGTTCGACACACTTTTGAAATCCGACAGGGTCCTTTGAAATTTTTATCTTCTTTAATTGTACGAGTCACAGAAACTTGTCTTGAGGAAGCAGTCTGTGATTCTGGGGTTGGTGCAGCTGATAATATCTCAGGCGTCAGAAGATATTAAATGAAAAAAATTTGGTAAATAGTATTTCTAAAGCTACGAATTAAAAGAAGTCGTACCGAGAAAACGTCGATAAAAGTGACAATTAACTGGCAATTAATGTGTGAAAATAGTCTTACTGTTACCACCAAATGTTTGTTTTTAGACCATTTTTTGCCATTTAAATAAATGTCACTTTAAGATATTAAAGCATTCCCAGTTAAAATGGCCAAATAATGGGGTCAAATGCCAAAAAGATGACACTTAAATGTCGATTAATGACGTATTAAGAGACATTTAATTGGCTATTAATTGCATCATTGTCGACGTCCTGGGAAGAAGACTGGATACAGCTGCTCTGTTGATATAAAAAAAAGTTTTTTGAATCCATTGACTAAGATATTCCTCTAGTACTAGTTTGAGGAGGATACTGATGTCTATCAGAATCCATCCATGAATGGGATATTATTGTGCTATACTTATCCATAGAGATTTTTTAGTTTTAGAAAACTGTGCATGACGATACTTTGGGATTCTTTGTACTGTAAGAAAGGATATTGTTCCTCTCATTTGGATCGCAAATAAATCAATATTATTTACATGGAAATGGAAAGTAAATGGTAGAGCGTTCCATCCATAAAATAAAATAATTTTGAAATTTGAAATATGCTCTATGCAAAAATGTGGTATAAGATTTTTTGTATAAAAACTGCAGATAATTTTCACTTTTTACTTCCGTGAGAAATATGTTCGTTGATAAATAACAAATTCAACATTCTTCACCATGTTTACATTCATAATCGTCGTTATGGAGTATGGACTGGTCTTATATAATAATACAACTCAAGCTAATTTGAGATCAATTGAGATCAGTATTTGAGACCATGTACTTAGAAAAGTACTTGGGTAAGTAATGTCCAGAGTACCTGGAATGTTTACAAGACTGTTTTACAAGTACAAAAGGTACTTATTAAGTAATTTAACAAGTATAAGTACTTCATCAAGTAGTTGGTAGGTAACCTGGTGAGTACTTGCGAAATACATGCAAGTATCCGAAGTTCTTCCAAGTACTTGGCAAGTATTAAATCTAAAAATGCTAGACAAGTACTTAACCAAGTAGTTTAGAAAATTTGCAAGTAGCTAAGTACTTAATCTCAAGTACATTCACTAGGCGGCCTGGCCAGCTAACTCTACCTGCGTACGTAATTCCGTGACGTTTTTCTATGATTTTGTTTTATTTGCAGAAATTTTTGAAAAAGTCAGAACTCAAAAGTAAATAAACCATTTTGTAGACAATTTAATTCTCTATCGACTGACCTGATTTTGAAACGTTTTAGCGAAAATCTCTTGGTTAGGAAATTCAAAACAATGAGAGCCGCTTTACTAAATTTATAAAAAAGATATGCAAAAAGTAGCTCTCAGTGTTTTGAATTTCCTAACCAAGAGATTTTCGCTAAAACGTTTCAAAATCAGGTCAGTCGATAGAGAATTAAATTGTCTACAAAATGGTTTATTTACTTTGAGTTCTGACTTTTTCAAAAATTTCTGCAAATAAAACAAAATCATAGAAAAACGTCACGGAATTACGTACGCAGGTAGAGTTAGCTGGCCAGGCCGCAAAGGAAACATCACGTATGAGAAAAATCTAGATACATTTCGTCAATAATGCATGATTAGTAGTTGGAAAAGAGACTTTTAACTAGATCTGTCTGCATGCATGTTGAAAGAATAACATTTTACCATATCCGTATGTCGCATCAATAAGAAAGACTTGAGCATTCAGAAACAGACCACCAAATTTTTTGGCTTTTTTAGTTTTAACTTCAAACATGAATTATCTACGTAATTTATCAATTCATCATACTAACAAATATTTCGATTTCATATATCCAAATTATTTGAACACTGTGAGGGAATGTATATATTCTTAGTAGCATATATATGTGTATTCAATTTTCTTTTCTCTATGATCCATGAAAAATTTGTGTTTTTCGGTAAATATTACAGATACAAAAATACACAACTTTTTAATAATCGTAACAACCGTATACAATGCGGTCTACATTTTCTGCTTATTTCGAGGATGTTGAATGACATTAAAACATCTCTGAGTATAATAAATCCAATCTGGCATTTAAAAGGCGACGAAACTGACTTTTATATTTTCCATTTTATTTAATGTGAATGAGATATGACACTGTGGTACAAAAAAATTTGTGTTTTTGGAAGTCACTTGAGTGAGGGCTTCTGTGTAACTACAGTGCTTGTGACAGCTTCTTCCTAATTTGATTTTCCTTACGACGTGCCCATAGCTACACCGTTGCTCACACTCTATTCCTGTGCCCAGTGAAAAAAAATGAGCGTGATTCCACAAGTTCCTGCGGGAAAAATGAAACATTTTCACGCGGGAAGTGAAAGTCTTCTGCAGGAAAAGAAGCACTTTTCCCGCCGCATTCTGCAGGAATCTTTCGAAAATCTGAAGAACTCCGTTCTTTTCTTAGGGAAAATTCCCGCCGCGTTTAAGACATTTACGACGAAAAATCTCGGCAGAATTCTTCTCTTTTCCCGATGTAGAAGAATTCTGCAGAAATTTTTCGTCGTAAATGTCTTAAACGCGGCGGGAATTTTTGCGCAGAATTCTGCGGAAACATTTTCTGCAAAAAAAAGATTTTCACCGTTGTCTCGCTTTTCATCTCATCTCTCATCATTCCGCTA